TCTTCCACATCTCCTTTTAGCACTGACACAGTACGGATGGCAGTGCTGACGGCACGCCAACGCGTGCCTCCAGACCTCGTGATGTTGTAATGTGCCCGGCAATACGCGGCTGGCCCGTGCGCTGGTTGCTGCCATCAGCCCTGCGCCAGCATCAAAAATTCCGTGAGGGAAGTATTGCTGGCTTCCCCCGACAATACGGGGCAATTGACCCAGGCAACACGCCGGTGTGGCTGGTATTGCCAGTGAACATGATGGGAAGGATTGGAGGACAAAACTGTCGGATTCCATAGCCGGATTTATTCCAGTTTCTTGTGCCCTGAGCCCTACTGCGATTGCTCCATTGCAATCAGGTAGTTTTTCTTGTGGGAGGCCACGGCAATAAATACGCCTGGAATGAGCAGTCGAACGGAGGAGGTGCCGCGAACCACTGCTGGTTGTTGGTGAATTTCACGGAGACAAGCAGGGAAATAAAGGAATTAAGAAAACCAACTTGCGAAGACAACCGTCCTTGGAGCTTTGCGCTAAGAACAGTTTATAAAAAATTTCCGACACAAATTATTGGCGGCGTAGCCGCTGCTGTTGATGACGCTGAAGGAGGATTGGTGTTCCCTGTAAAAACTGTGAGTGTTGGGGAAATCCCGCCCCACCGATCGCGTGCTTGGCAAAGCTTGGGAAATAAATGCTGTCGAGGGCGATATCTGCTGAGGGGTGAAGTGATCCCTTTGTCGTGGTGTGGGAAGGTGGAGATCTTTGCATGATCACTGCATCCGATGGCGACCGCAGGGTGGACGCGTCCAGTGAAAATGGGGAGGCGTGGGCGGAGCCTCTGGGGACACTCAATTGCCCGCCTGTGGGCCAACTGGCATGATGGACAGGGGAAAGGCGTTCTGAGCGGCTTCATCACTGCGGCGATTGGAGAAGGGAATGTTCTGCGCGTTACCCTACCGGTGTGTCATAAAGCGAGCGAAAAGGAAAAGGGTCGGCTTTCTCTCTGGCTGGCAGACAATGTTCACATTGTGGGTATTTGGCTGGCATCCCGTAATGTGTATGCTGCTGCCGACAGCTCCCTTTTTTACGAAGGTGGTGAAGGCGAGGATGATGATGAGTTGATTTTACTGTGCGGGAAGAGGGACGATGGGGAATGGGCACGCAGCCATTTGTCTGTGTGCCTGACTGCGAAGCTGAAACGGGTGAAGAATTTGGTGAGGGCTTTGAAGGAGCTGTACATTTGTGTCTCCCAGTTCTGCCCTTACTCAAATGTCAAGAAAAATCTTCTGTCTGTCGAGGGCTGCGACACTTTCATGCCTCCAGCCGGGCTGGTTGGATGTTTGTCCGGCAAATTATTCGAGAATAAATGGAAGGAAGAGGGACTTGGGGCTGAACGCTACGGAGACGGGTGGGGCAGCTGTGGAAGAAGGGCTTTCCAGTGGATCGGCTTTCAAGGGCGTTGGTTTCTGGGCGTAGCGGTCCGTTGGCAATCGGGGGAAGAATCGGATGTAGTGCCTTGCAATGAACGGGTTCACCTTTTGTGGAGGCGATTTCTATTTACAAGTTGTCACCGTCTTGCGGCAGCATCTTTTTGATGGGTGTGGGGATAAATGAAACAGGCAGCGCTGCATTTCTTGAACAGTCGCAAGCGCATGAAATGAGGTGGGAAACAATGTTCAACGGAAAGAAGGATACAAACGGAATCACTTTGGGACTGGGTAAGGAATGGCAGGTGGCGATTGTGCCTTGGACTGGCATTCGGGTCTCTGTCTACACTACTGGCCAGCGTTTCAAGAATTCAACATCGACATCAGCGACTGGAAGGAATTCACAGGAGATCGGACACTTTCGCATTGAAGGGGATGGAGACTGCGCAGACGACACACGGAGTGAGAGGCGTGTGACGACGAAAAACGTCTTTCTGTACAACCGACCCTTGAGTATGGAAGAATTCCGGAAGTACATTGCACCCTGGCGCAGCCGGCCACTTCAACGTTGTGCCAGTGTCTAGTACTCTTGCTTGGGGAGAATCAAAAGGGCCGGAAGGGCCAAAGATGGAGCCGCTATCAGCGCTGTCTGAGGAGTGGGTGAGCTGGCAGTGAGGCCATTTCTGACAGCGTTTCTTCTTATTCCGAGAGCAGCACTAACTTGAGGGCGAGGGATTTAAGGGGTGACAGCACCGTGCATGGGTGTGTGTCTCGGGTGTTTTTGCTCCCGCTTTTGGGGCTTTGGGGCACTGCGGCTTTCTGTTGGGGTATGGGAGAGTGTGGGGTTGCTGCAATCGTTGGAACACATCCGCAGCACCACTTCCAATTCCATTGCCTTCCGAAGAGTAATTTTTTTTTTTTATGCTTGTGTGTGTTTATCCATTGAATTCTTGCTTTTGTGAAATTTCTTTGATCATTCACACACATCCTCATGTGTGGCGCACCCTCTCCTTCCTGTTTGCTTCTGTTGCCCACACGCTGTGCCGGACTCATTCCTGTGATTCCCACGGACTGCACAAAAGGAGGAGCGGAGGAGCAGACCGTGTGCCACATGTAATGTGAGGGGCGTTGTGTGGTCTCGTGGAAAAGTACAATATTTTTCTTTTTACTTATTCTTGGTGTGGGCAATGTGTGTGTACCCAAACGCACGGTTGTTTTTTGTTGCTTGGTGCACGAAATCGAAGTCCTGCCTGATCACTTTTTCTTTTGTGATTTTTGCTGGACCGTCATTCTTTTTCTGCCCTTTATTAACCGTTATTCGTTTTTTTGTAAATCCCTTTTGCTCGTTTTTGTATTTTTTCTTCCCACTTTCTCTTTGTGTCTTTTTGTCCCGTTGGATGTCTCTCTGTCGGCTTTGCTGCTGACATTTCTTCAATTCTTTTCTTTTCTGCTAGAGGCAGTGATGTTCCGCGGTGACGATTATTTGTGTTCCCCATTGCGATGGCAAGAGGGTGACTGGGCGCCGGCCTGCTGAGTACAGTTGGAGGGGAGCGGACGGTGTGCGCTGTGCCTCACTGTGAGTGTGGGACGGCACCCACCACAACCTGTTGTGGGGTGTAATTCCAATTTGTCGGGGCGGAGAGAAGTAAAGGACATTGCCGTGGACTTGGATGCGCTCCGTCTCTCTTGTTGCGGCCGTGGGTCTGTGCTGTGTGCACGGCACTTTCTTGCGTTGCGGCGTGGATGGCGTTGCTTACAAGTACATTTGGTAGATTGGTTGCGTTCGCTGCGGGCTCATGCAGTCAATAGAAGAGGCTCTGCAGCGTGCATGCGAATGTGTGTGCATGCATGCTTGATGGTTAGAGCTGTGTAGCTTGCCGGAGAGTGCCGCTGCTGCGCTGTTTTTGTGGTGGGCGTTGTGCGTGCGCTACTGACGCTTCTGCTGTGGGTGACGCAGGGAGTCTTTCTGTCACACATGTTTTTGAGGGCTGTGACAATTCTGCGATGGCATGCGCGAGTGGGGGACTACCGAGAATGATGCGGGGAGCTGTGTGCGGCCCACACGGCGCGTTGGAGCTGCAGCTGCAAGTGGCTGTACGTGGCGCGGGTGGCTGTGCTGACGTTCTGCCAGGCACCGGTGCTTTGCGAGGAGGGAGGGCGGGAGCCCGCTTTGCGTCTATTTGAAGTGTTTCGGGTGTGGTGGTGGCTGGCGTGCGGGCTGTTGGATTTGTTCAATAAAACAGGAGAAAAAACAACAATTAGTGTGGATAGACTTTCCCTTTGTCCGACTGCTGCCTTTCTGCTTTTTCTTCATGTGCATGCCGTGTGCGCGGCATCAACCTGGACGCTGTTTGTTGTGCAGCGCCGGCCCATCGGTCACGCTAGCGGTGCCAGTGGTCATGTGCTTCTTTGCTGGGATCCCACCACTCCGCACGGTGGTTGTGTGGGGCTGCGTGGGCGGTGGGGGTGGATGGCGTAACTGATTTGATTGTGTTCTCGCGTCTTTGTGTTGGCGGTCGGGCTGTGGCCGGATGCTTCTGCGTGCCACTGTGTTTATTTGCTGTTGTTGCTGCTTCTTCCTTCTCCTCTGACCGAGCATTTAGAGTTAATTTCGCTTCACCAGCACAACTATCGTTTCAAGGTGTTAATTATTAATTGCTGTATTAGGAATAGCAGAAGTAGTGGGATAGCGATATATAGGAATTGTGTAACTGTATTTGCCATCTGTATAAGGGGATTTGTTGGACAGGAGTTATGGTGGACGGGGCGAGTGCAACACACCACGACAGCCCTGTTGGTACGTGTTTGTGTCGGTGGATGCGGTCTGCGGAGGGTGCGTGTCCGCGCGGCCGGCACCGTGTGCGGCGCAGGGCCGTTGCGACTGTGCGTGCGGCGCTGCTTGTGGCGTTGGCGCTTGTGGCGTTGGCAGCGTGGATGCCCGCGGTGCATGCGGTGGTGTTGCGACTGCGGGGCGGCACGGTGGACAGAGCCATCACGGTTGGCCGCGCCGTGGACACGGTGCTGATGGACGGCGTGTACATCACGAACGGCGTGGCTGTGGTGTTTGACGTGCCTGCGATGCTTCCCGGCGCGCTGCGCATCGAACTGAGGGATTGTGTGTGCGACGGCGGTGCGCAGATCTACGTGCGGGGCTACAGCGGCGAGCCGGCGACTGACCGGAGCCTGGAGGTGAGCGTGAGCGGGCTGTCCGGCGACTACTGCTCGCTTGTGTTTGTGCACAACCTGCCGGCACACACGAACGTGACGGTCCGCGACTCGACGATTGTGACGCCTGGACCGATGCGCTATTCCCAGCTGAGCGGGCTGACGGATGCGGTGGCGTCGCCGCTTGTGCTGCACGCGACGTCGCTGTTGCAGACGCGGCTGCGTGTGAGCAACACCGTGCTGAGGTCTTCGCAGGCGGGCGGGTCGGCGGTGTACGTTGGCGGCGGCGTGGACCTGCTGTCGAGCGCGTTGGTGTTTGACGGCGTGTCGCTGGAGGCGTCGGGCGGTCCGACCGCGTCCGCGATGCGTGTGGCGTCCTCGTCGCGTCTCAGCCTGCGGAGCCACTCGGTGTTCTCCGTGACGAACGTCTCGGTTGTGAGCAGCGGCGGCGGCATTGTGCTTGGCGAGCGCCTCGCGGTGTTTGATTCGGTGCTGCGCTTCGTGGGCGTCGAGGGGTCTGCTGCGTCCTCGCTGGTGTGCTGCGACGGTGGGACGGTCGGTGGCGGCGGGTGGCTGGAGCTGCACGACGTGTGGGCGGTGGGCGAGGCGTCGTCTGTGGCGTCGCTGTCGGGGGTGACGCTGGGCGGCGGCACCGTGTCGATTGCGCGCTGCGCTGCCACTGGCGCGACGCTTGTCTCCGGGCCGACGATCACGAGCGGCGTCGTGTCGGTGCAGTGCAACCGTGCCGGCGGCCGGGTGCTGCAGAGCAGCGGCGACTACCGCATGGCCGGCCTGTCCTCCGTGAGCGTGGTGCCGTGCGACGGCTGTGCGGCCGCGCTGGCGTGCTTCGATGCGCTGACTGCGTCGTTCTCCGACTGCGCGTGCAGCTGCCGTGCCGGCGGTGTGGGCGAGGCGTGTCTGCCGTTCGACGTGCCGCCTGCGAGGGCCGGCGGCGGTGGTGGCGATACTGCGGAGGGCTGCGTGAGTGGCGTGACGCTGACGGAGTCGGTGACGGTTGGCGGCCGGCGTGCGACGGCGTGCTTCGACTCGGTGGTGTTCGGTGGGCCGATCACTGTGGCGGTGGACCTGCGCTCGATGGACGCGCTCGCTGACGCGCTGAACGTGACGCTGCGCCACTGCGTGCTTGCGGACGGCGCGCAGCTGCGGATTGGCGGCCTCAGCGAGAGCACGGCGCGCCTGATGCCGCACGTCCTCGTCAACATGACGAATGTGACTTCGATGGAGGGCACGATTGTGCTGCACGGCGCGATGCCGCTGCACTCGAGTGTGCTGCT